TGCTTTCCTACTTAGATGAGAAATCCCAATCCATACTGATCCTATTTTCCTTATTAGTGCAGTGAACTCATTTATCTAATTTGATTCAGGTATTTTACTGTTTAACGCTACTCCTCTGTCAGATCGAACAGTTTTTCCTGCATTTGTGTACTGAACACAATAAGCATTTGATTTAGCATTTTTCTTTCACCGTGTTTTTATATGTTTACAATGTTACTAAAGTAATTTAAAACTCATTTTTTTGCTTCCCCTGTTCTGCTTCTTGGCTTGTGCTTGTGTGTTTTCATACCTTTGGTAGTATTTTTTGAATTACCATACCCTGTTTAGATGGAACTCTGCTCTTAGTCAACAAATAAATGGAATCTTCTCATATCTACAAAATAATACAGTTAATAATTTATTTTGCTTTTGATTATTTCCTTGCCCTTCACTTCCACCGGTACAATATAAACTGTATGATATTACTGTCTTAAAATTGAGAATGTCTAAAACAAAATTACTCCATACTTGATGACTATAAGATTAAATGAAAAAACAAACACAAAAGTTAAAGAAAAGCATGAAACCTGAATTGCAGAGTTTGAGTGGAAAGCCACATCAGTGTGAATATGAAATGTTTATTAATTGATGTATGTTATGTAGGAGGAGGCTGCAATTTTGATCATGCATAGGAGGAACAAATTAATGTTATTTTTGTAGGTGCACTAAGAAATGCAATTATATAGTAGATCATACATGATTCTGCAGATTTTTCCTGGTATCTTGAGTCAGTGTTTTGCACTTTCAGGAGACTGAGAAGATTACAAAAGAATAGGATTACCAGTATTAAATAATAAAAGACCTGTTCAAAGAATTAGAGAGAAATGCAGGATTTTTTTTCTTTGTGAGTATTTATTAATATCTTGCTTTAAACCACCTCTGATTGTCTAGGCATTGTACATACCATTTTCATTGAGACTATGAAACTATATTCATTAAATGCTACAGTGATTTTCACTCTCAGTCTTATTTAGCATACTTGGTAGTACTTTTGATCTGAAGTAATGATGAACCACACACTTCCTCTTTTGTTATTTTAAACTCAGAGGATCTGGGAAACACAACTTAGATTTTAGCCTGGTTCTGGATTCATAAAACCCCTTTTCCATTACATTCATGCTTGAAGTTTCTGTTTACATATCACTCTTTGGCTTGATTACAGCCTTCTGGAAATTATTGTTATTTACTTTCTTTATTCAGTGGAAAGGTAAAGGCATTCAGAGAGGGATTTTTGGTTGTGTTTTTGGTCTGTTTAATAACAGATGAAAACATCAAAACAAGACACTAGATCCTGACAGAGATAGAAAAAATCAAATTATGGGAATTTTCATTATAAATAAATGTCTAATTAGAATGCAATAGCCCTTGAATTTATGTAATTACACATACTCAAAAATCTCTATGTCATCGCCATAATGAAAAAGCCATCATTTCTATTCAAAAGTACTTCAGAAAGCAAAATTAAGTCTGCCAGCACATTCAATTTGTCCATCTTTCACAAAAATTGTATCCTATCTTCAGTAAGGAAATTGCTGTTCTGTCGAAAGCAAAGTAATTATAAGAATTGCTCAGAAACAAGAGCATCATTCTCATCACTCCTTGAAATTAAAATAGTAAATATTTCTCTTTCCCCTTTCTCCCTCATCTATTTCATTTCATGAGTATGTAGGTCCCTGACCTTGGCCTGATGGACAAGGAAGTTAAAACTGCAAGCCATTAGTATTTCTTTCCACACATCAGTGAAACTATGTTAGGAATTTTAAATGGATGAACAGCTTAACTAATATTTAATTTATAAGAGGTATAATGTATACCATTTTATGGTAAACGATAATATGAATTTTTTTTACTGTCAGTAAAAATCTGAAATACTGCAATTAGAAGAAACAAGATGCAATTAGAAGAAACAAGATTAATTGGTTTTACATATTAAAACACATGTTTAAGTATATGTTAGGATTTATCTTATTTGGTTGCAATTAGTAAACATTAGTAAACATGAATCTTCAGGCTGGTTATGCCCTCCATGTTCCCTGAGCTGCTCATTCTAAACCCGGTTTCCTAGCCTTCAGATCGTAAACAAGGCTGCAGTTTCATCTGCAGATATGTGTATTCCACATGTCAGGTTATAAGCTTGTGATGGTTCGGATTTGGCTCCCTGCCAAATGCCCAAATCCCAGTAGCAGCCTCCCCCCCTTCCCCTTTCCTTCTTTCCTCAGAGCAAAGGAAAAAAGCTATGTAAATTGAAGAACTCGAAAATCTAGCTAGTTATATAAAAAAATATTTATTTGATGTATATTACAGTAAGATGCTATGTACACAGCAAAAAGGAATTCAAACACCCCCCGAAGGGATAGGGAAAGGGGAAAGGGGAACAAAAGGGAACAAAAAGGGACACCGAGCAGATATACGTAATCAAACCTGAGAATTAGTAAAATAACTAGTAAAACAAATCTCACCAGTCCCTTAGAAAGAAGCAGGATTGGCACACACGGCCAGCACTCTGCTATCCTCCACGTGGCAGGCCAGCGGTCACTGCAGGCCTCAGCCTTAGATAAGTGAGACCAACGCAAGGACCCACTGTTCCCGTACCCCGCTGGAAGAGAAGAGAGTGAAGACCTCTCTTCCTTTCTTATTTATACCCCGATTTACGTAAAAATCGTATGGAATACAGGGAACACTGCCTCTTCCTTGGTTACAAACTGGTAACCGAGGAAAGCCTAGATTAAAACCACCACAAAGCTTGATTGGAGAAGTAAAATTGAACAGAATGTGAAAGTTGCCAAAAATTATTAATGAAAGTTGGCAGGAAAACTAAGATTCCTTTCGAGTTAGGCATGGTAGGGTAGGTGTTCTGTAGAGACATTCACAATATTTTTGTTGTCTTAGTGACCTTAATATTCATACTAAGATCCCGGTAAGTGTAAGCAGCAGTAAAATGTGTTGTAAGAAGAGAGTTAAATTCATTTATCAGGCCATATTACCTAGCAGTGATTTCTTTGATTCCCATTTGGACTTTTCTTTCTACTGTGTTCTTTGAAGACTCCTACATAAACCATAGAAAGTGTGTTGGCATTACAGCTTGTATTTCTTTCCTGTTGCAATATATAATTTTTGATCCATCCTCAGTCTTTCATTACTGTTTTATTCCTAGAAAGTATTAACCCCATGTCTCATTCAGAGTTTAGGTCCAAGGCTGAGGTTCATCAAGATGAACAAGATTCTCACATTATTTTTATGCTGGTTGGGGGGAAGATTCAATTCACTACAATTCATGAAAAAAAAGGCTGGGTAACCCACTGGACATGAGTGAAGTCTTCATATTCCATGGGACCCAATGAGATGCATCTGGGAGTTCTGAGGGAATGGGCTGATGACATATGAAAAGTCATGGCAGTCAGGTGAAATCCCAGGGGATAGAAAAAGGGAAACATTGTACCCATCTTTACAAAGGGTAGAAAGGAGGACCCTGGGAGCTACTGACCTGTCAGCCTCCCCTCCGCTGGGAAGGGTCATGGAACAAATCCTCCTGGAAACTGTGCTGAGGTACATGGAGGACACGGAGGTGACTTGGGACAGTCAACACAGCTTCACCAACCCAGTGACATTTTATGGTGGGGTGGCTGCATCAGTGGACACGGGAAGGGCTACAGATGTCATTTATCTGTAAAGCGTCTGTAAAGCCTTTGACAGGGTCCCTCCCAACATACCTCTCTCTAAATTGGAGGGACATGGATTTGATGGGTAGACTGTTTGGTGGGTAAGGAATTGGTTTGATGGTCACACCCAGAGGGTAGCGGTCAACAGCTCAGAGTCCCGATGGACATCAGTGACAAATGGTGCCCCTCAGGGGTCTGTATTGTTACTTAATATCTTCATCAATGACAAAGTGATCAAGTGCCCCCTCAGCAAATTTGCAGATGACACCAAGGCGAGAGGTGTGGTTGTCACCCCTGAAGGACAGGATGCCATCCAGAGGGACCTGGACAAGCTTGCACTGTGGGTCCATGGGAATCTCATGCAATTTAACAAGACAAAGTGCAAGGTGGTGCACCTGAGTCAGGGCAGCCCCTGGTACCAGTCCAGGTTGGGGGATGAGCAAATAAAGAGCAGCCCTGGCAAGAAGGACTGGGGAGTGCTGATGGGTGAGAGACTGGACATGACCCGGCCATGTGCACTCACAGCCCAGAAAGCCAATCCTGTCCTGGGCTGCATCCAAAACAGAGTGGGCAGCAGTTAAGGGAGGAGATTCTACCCCTCTGCTCTGGTGAGACCCCTCCTGGTGCACTGCATCTAACTCAGGTAGAATTCAATGAAAGCCCTTAAATGCCTATAAGGCACTGAACACAAACTGGTTTTCTTTACAGATGTGCTTCTTGGACCATATTATTAATGTAGATGGTATATATAGATGCACCATTTTCTGATAATGGTAATTAATACATCTTCATCCTCAAATGTTGAAAACTCATACTTAGTATATTGCTTAATTGTCAAAATTATTCAGAATTCAGAATGATACTTCAAATTCATTTTAGAACACCTACTTCTTGATATAAATTTGTGATTTGTGAGTACCGTGGCTAAGAATATTTTTGAGTCAAAGTGTAGCTGTGAACGAAAGATAACAGGTTTTTTTGCATTTACAATATTTAAGTGGTCCACTTAAAAAAAAAAAAAGGTACTAGAACTAGAATTCAGTGAAAGCCCTTAAATGCCTATTTAAGGGCACTGCTTGTTTGCTTAGGTGTGAACTTTGATAAGCTCTTCTTTCTTTCTGAAAGATTGTTTTCCTTCTGGCTTAGTTACATAGATAGATAGATAATTAGATGTATATGTTTTACATATACATATATATATATTTAGTGTATTACTTCAGAGATATTTAGGTAGTGTATTAGGGCCATATGTAATATTTTGTTTCAATCTATGTATCTAAACACAAGATGTTGAATATTCAGGATCACAAAGGAAGAAGGAGGCAAAATGAAGTAACACACAGGATTCAAACAGCCATTATACAGATTCCAAGGTCACCATCAAAACCCACCATAAAAGCTATTGAAGCCAAAAAGTTCCTAATGAAGAAAAGAGAAGCAGAGGTAATTATCATCTATATTCTTTTAATGTTAACTATATTAACTCAAAAAATCATGATTTCTGGGAATGTTTATGCTTACAAATACTGTACTTGCGCAATCCAAAAGTTGCTGATATGTAATATGAACTGTAATAATGATATAGTAGACTCAGCCAGTGAAAATTGGGATGAATATTTATGTGATCATAATTCTGCATTTGTTTCTTGATAAAAATTGTTTTGATGTAAGAGAAAGTTTTTACTGAATTTATACCATAGGTAGGTACTAATTTGACTGCTGGATGCTGGGCTGCATCCAGAGCAGGGTGGACAGCAGATCGAGGGAGGGGATTCTGCCCTCTTGTGACCCCACCTGAAGCACTGTATCCAGCTCTGGGGTCCTCCTCCAATGTAATAGGAATTACACTGACCTATTGGAGCAACTCCAGAGGAGGCCACGGAGTTGATTAGAGTAATGGAGCACCTTTCCTAGGAGGAGAGTCTGAGAGAATTGAGATTGTTCAGCAAGGAGAAGAGAACGCTTCAAAGTGACCTAATTGTAGCCTTCCAGTACCTGAAAGGAGCCTTCAAGAAAGATGGAAAGAAACTATTTCCAAGAGCACGTAGTGACAGGAAAAGGGGAAGTGGCTTCAAACTGAGAGGCAGTAGGTTTATGTTAGAGATTAAGAAACAATTCTTTACTGTGAGAGTGAAGAGGCACTAGAACAGGTTGCCTGGAGAAGTTGTGGATGCCCCATCCCTGGAAGTGTTGAAGCCAAGCAATCTGCTCTAATGAAAAGTGTCACTGCCCACAGCAGGGGGTTGGAACTATGTGATCTTTAAGGTCACTTCCAACCAAAGCTTTCCTATGATTTAGTCTCCATAGATAGGCCTGTAGAGGGTGCTTGATGTTGTCTGTGATGATAAGGCTTAGTTACTATTTTTTTTTTTTTAATAAAATTAATTTTGGGGTTTTCTTCTGATTTTTTTTTGCTGTTTGATTTTTTTTTGCTGCAATTCCTTCCCGCTTATTCTGTGACAGCAGTTCTTCAAAGTGTGAGTACTTACAACAGCCTGCCTAGATTCTTTGTAGTCAGTCAGGAAATAGGCACTTCTCAGAGAAATTTGTCTTATCCTTTATTTAAAACATGTAAGATGAGTCACATTCTGTAAGAGCCTGTTTCTCTTAATCGAGTGTATAGAGACCATATATAGCTCAGCTACAAGCTCAGCTATAGGCATCTGGTTAAGTGAGGTTAAATTTGACATTCCAGAAGTGTGGTCTCATGGGGGATACACAATCGACTCAAAGTTCAGCTCAGATGGAGCCATTAAGGTGAGAACATTACTTCCTTGTTCCAAAATGGGCAAGTTACAGCGACCTTTCTAGTTTGTATTTTCCTTGACAGAGTTGAGTGGTTTTCTGCCCTCCATTCCCAACAGTACTTTCACGATTGCTCCTTCCAACTACCGATTCCTCTAAATCTCTGGATTTGCTTTTCTTATGTTTATTAAACAAAAGTCTTTTGCCTTTGTATGCTTTTTCCCTGTATGTATTACTAGATCCTGAAAACTTTGGTACAGGCTACAATTTAATGATTGAAAAGTGTATTTCCTCTTTAAAATATAGCTAATAAGGCAAGGTTGCATGAAATAGATTTAAACTCATTAACAACTTTCCAGGGCAGGAATGGGAAATTCTCTATCTTGTTTTATTTTCTCCAGTTCTGGCCACAGATATGTGTTACTTACTTTGCATGTGAGCATAACAGCTCGCTAAAATGTCTGAAAGCTATCTTGGGAAAACCAGAAGCTGTTTAACTCATTAAATCTTTAATCTTGAGATCATATGGATGTTGTATCCTGGACTCTGAGTCAGGGTGCAGAAACTGCACTACTAAGGGTTGGAAGGATGGAAGTACATCACAAGCAGGAGGAACAGGGGAAAAGTGAGGATGCAAGACTTCTCTCTTGCAGCACTGTCAGACTGTACTGTCATCTCCAGATTTAGCACAGCTACTTTTCACTAAATAGAATCACTGAAGTTCATTTTGCCATAATCGGTTGGTCCTTCCTCCAATACCAGGATGTATACCTGTGTTCTAGCCCCCAAGTTCTTGTATCAGGTGTGATTTATGAGATTCCATAGCTATTCTAAATTATTACATGTTCATCCGCTGTTATTAGGTAATTTAAATTAATTGATCTTCTAACTAGTTCTTAAAGGACCTACTGGCAAGGTATACTTGACATAAGAATATTTATTTTAATGTTGAGCTTTGTCAGTGATATGAACTTAATTCAGTAGTTTTCAGTTATGTGAATATAGTGAGAAATTAACTATTATTACAAATTATCTCATTCATTGGCTTTTCCTCACCTCTGTAAATTTTACTGCAAACTAATAGCTAAAGGCTCTTTTAAGAATTGAATGAATGGATGTAGAACTATACACAAAACCTAACTATTCCTAGTAGGTTTTTGAAAAGAGTTAAAGAAAATATTGATTTTTCCTATTAAATGATGAATAATATATTGTGATACTATTCTACATATAGAATTTTTAGGTCTAAGATAAAATCACTGTCTCTTAAGTTGCTGCAGTAATAGGGACTACTTGATCTCTTCATGAAGTATTTCTACAAATTCTAATTGAAATGCTACAAAATTATGAAGAATAGGAAACACAAAGGAATCTTCTAGATAGGCTTATGTCATAGTTCGTATTTTTAGCAAAGAATTTTTCTTTCCTTTCCTCCTGCCTGTGTGTGTGCTCTGTGATGGGCCATTTTAGTTGAACAAAAGAATCACCCGGAGCCCTTAACGATGGAGATTTGTCTCCTTGACAACGAAGGGGGGAGTTGGCTGGTGTGTGACTGGAAGGGGGTGGAGGCTGGGGGGGGGAGGAGACTCTCTCTCTCTCTCTGCCGGGGGTGAGAGGCTGCTGCGGGCTGCAGACACTGCCGGGCTCCTTTGTTTTTTTTTTCCCTGTCGGAGGGGAGTTTCTGGCTGCTGCTCTTGGCTCACCTCGGGCTAACTGCAAGCCCTGCTTACAACGGACCCTAATCAGCTGAAGTTTGTGAGTTTTCTTCCATTGGGAGAACTTTCTGTTTTATTGCTGTTGTTCCCCCCCCCCCTTCCCCTCCCCCCGGTGGCAGCCAAGGATCCAACAGCGCCACCTGGTGACGGGCACTGGACATTACAAGTTCTACTCCTTCAGTGATCCAACAGCGCCACCTGGTGACTATAATAGGACACTACAAGTTTTTTACACCTTCAGTGACCCAACAGCGCCACCTGGTGAATGGTACGGGACATTACAAATTTTGCATCTCCAGTGACCCGACGGCGCCCCCTGCTGACTGTGGTTGGAACAGCACCAAAGGGTGCAAGAAATTGAACTATTTTCTTTTTGCCGGTTTATTGGTTTTGTTCTTAAAGGGGATTATTGGTGGGTATAGGAGTATTACTTAGTTATTTTACTTGGGTTTTTTTTTCGTGTTCCTGTTAATACACACATACCTTTTAATAAAGGGCTGTTATTTTCCCTTTTCCATAATTTGTTTTTCCTTCAATCGGAGCCTCTTAATTTTGGATTTATAATTGTTTGGAAAGAGAAGTTTGGGTCTTTTCCTCCTAATTCATCCTCAGCAAAAGACCCTTGTCTCATTTAAACTGGGACATCTTTTGGCGCCCAACGTGGGGCCCGAGAGAGGAAAAGTGGAAAAGGAATAACTGCCCTTGTGTGACTTTATATGTGTTTGTGAACCTGTAGGCACCATGAAGTCTAAGATCGCTGCTTTTCTGTGGTATATAATTATGCCGAAATCTATGTCCCACCTGTCGATGTTTTTCAGCTCAGACACTATGACCCTTATTGCAATAAGTATGTTTGAGATCTCGCACTGGTTTTATGACATAGTAAACTCAGTACCTGTTATTTTCCTTCGGGATATGTTCTCAAGGATATATTACTGCTCTAGCCTACACTGTCTCCTTTGGGGTTTTAAGGATAATGGCACCTATTCCGACGGAGAAACACAGGGGAGTATATTTGCCCAGCCCTTCATACATTTTCCCTTTGGTTCCACTACAATAGCCTCTGAGAGATTTAAACTCTCTTTAGATGTAAGAGACATTTTATTTTTGGGGCTTCTCGTGCAAGGTGTCATATCTATTGCCACGGTGTCATATCTAATATTCGTAGTTAGGCCCAGGATTTACCAGGAACGGGCACAGAAACCAGCCCCAAGGGTGGAAAACCTCGAATGGCATGGGCCATGGGAGGACGTGAGTAAATTTCTAGAAAGTGTTTCAGTTCCTACAACATGGAAGTTCACTCTCGAACAACTCCTAAACCCTGCACAGATAATAACAGCTGTGAGGGAGAGAAGTCGTGGTAAACCCAGAGAGGAGCAGGTGGTAGATGTATGTGGGGCTTTAGCCGTTGCCTACCAAAAGGTGCTAGGTATGGTGCAGCCCTCACAGGGTAAAGGAAAAGATGAAAGTGAGAGGTCTGATACAAGGGTGACTCCAGATAAGGCCAGTTCCAAGGAACCAAACAAGTCAATGGAGGTTGCCCCTATCCAAAAGAGGAAATATAAGACCAAATCAGTTCACCCAGTAGATGATGATGGGGAGGCAGGACCCTCACAGGTAGCCAACCCAGAGCCAGAAATCATCACTGAGTCCTTATCATATGACAACCTCCGGAAATTACGGTCAGATGTCCTTCGTCACTCGAATGAGCCCATACTGACCTGGATGATTCGAGTCTGGGACTCCACGGGTGATACCATAAACCTTGATGGCGGTGAAGCAAGGTTCTTGAGGTCTATTGCCCAGGATGTGGGCATTGAAGGGGCATTTGTGAGAGAATCAAAGCCCCTGTCTCTCTGGGCACGGCTGCTGGACGCTGTGAGAGAGAAGTTCGTTTACAAAGAGGCTTTGCAGGCAGACCATTTGGTGAAGAGCTGGAATACCATGGAGGAGGGGATCCGACGCCTGAGAGAAATGGCACTG